GCTATGTGGCGTTACAATAATGAAATGAAGAAATTTAGTTGGTTGACAAGGAATATGTTGGTCACTGTACAGTGGGTGGGGAGATCAACAAATACTTTGTCAAATGTGTTAGCTAAGCAAGGGGTAAATAGGAAAGAATTGTTTTGGGCTCAGTTGTGATTCTTGCTTTTCTTTCCTAGTTTACTTGTAAGATTCAAGGAGAGGTTGCAGCTCGCGCCTCTCCCTGGGATGTTGTATGAACTCACTTTAAATTTGCTTCTGGATTAATAAATTTATTATCATTCATCAAAAAAAATAACTTGAAGAAGCATCCCACTTAGCAAGTTAGCAGTGCCTGATAAAGGAGAAACATGTGAACCCTAATCACCTTCTTTTTGAACCTAATTAAAACCCCTTTATAGCTAGCTATTCAGAATGTGATACTTGAAATGCATAAGTGAACTGTGTTTTACAACACAGACAACTGGTATTCTTTAAGTTCATAATTCTCAGTCCAAGAAGCAAATGGTTTTTCTGATTTCCATACAACTTTTCATCATGATGACGATGTCTTACCTCAGCATCATCTTTGTTTTGCTCATCTAGTGACCCTAAAAGCTTGCCCTGCACAGAGAAAGGGAAAAAAGTGTAAAGAATATAGATTAACTTTCGATTAAAGAAAATCTTAGATACAAAAACATTATAGAGAAACTTCTTACTTTATAATAAAAAAAAAAAATCAATAGCTTTTACCTTTTAGTAGTACTGGTTAGAATCATAGTTGACTGGAGAAATAGAAAAGAAATGTTGATAGCAGACTGAGGCTTCTTTATTGATTTATGAAGAAGGAATATATGATATTAACATATACTGATATACAATGGAATTGCCACACGTCCTAATGTGGGTTAGATTTGCTACCCACCCCATGTGCCTTTTTCTTCCCCTATTTCTTAAGTTACAATGGTATCATTATCCCTAGGGATTATTAAACCCCAATAATAGATGTGTTTTGTTAACTCCTTGTTTAGCCAAATTATCTGCCACAGTATTACATGATCTCTTAAACAGTTAAACCCAAGTGAATCTAGCTTCCAATTGCTAGCTAAATATCTGATCTCTCGGAATGTCAATATCAATGTTTTAAAAGGCGTCGGAGGCCTATGCCTAGAGGCGCTCCCAAAACGCCCAGAGGCATATGCCAGAGGCACTGATGTTACGCAACTTTACTCTTCTTAATATAAAATATTTTTATTAAAAATAAAGAAAAAATGAGATCTCCCTTCCTCTTCATCCTCCTCCCCTTCCTCCTAACCCCCCTCCTCCAAACGAGGCTTACACTTCCTTGTGTTTGGGAGGCTTACACCTCTTGCGTTCTGAACTATGCCTCACGCCTCTAGGTAGTGGAACGCCTCGCGTCACACCTCCATGTTTTAAAACATTGGTCCATATTGCCATGGCCCTTGATTGTTGCATCTGATCCACCCCACAATAATCTTTGAACACTCCTCTATTTGCACCCTTTTATAGTTGAGATCTTTTCATATGCTTAAACCTTGGAGTACAACCAGTAATTCTGCTCTTATTGAGTTCCTATGCCAAATAGGTCCTGAATACAAAATTGCTAATATGCCATAATGAGTCTAAACACATTCCCTATGCCTGCTTGCACCGGATTTTTTTTTTTGGATAAATGAAGAATTAATTTCATTAATCAAGCATAATAGAACTTTACAAGCTTCCCTTGGAGAGGCGGGAGGTGCAGCCTCTCCTAATCAATACAAAGGATCATAAAACAGATTACATAGCTTCCCAAAATAGCCCATCACTAGAGGACCCTTGTTTAGTAAGAGTCATCCAAAGTATTTGCCGACCTACCCACCCATTGAATTCTTAGAGTTATATGTCTTGTCAAGCATATAACTTTTTTTATGAGGTCCCTATAACTCTAAACAACTGAATCTGGGTTCATTAGCCAACCCATGATCACCTTGGAGTCCCCTTCAATTAATAGATTCTCTACTCCAAGTTGGTTGGCAATCTGAATTTCTATACTGCAACCAATAACTCAGCCCTTGTAGAGTCCCCTATACCCACCGAGCCAGAAAATAAAGAGATAATGTTACCATCCTCATTTTTCAAAACCCCTCCAATGCCTGATGGCCCTAGATTGCCTTGGCTACTACCATCAAAATTCAATTTGGTAAAACCTTCTGAGGGGAGGTGCCCAAACTGATACAGATCTGTTTTTCTTAATCGATGAATGGGCTATAACATTCCAATTCCTCCAGAAATCATCACAAGAGAAGGAACTGAAGGAATCCAAAGATTTCAACCAATGAATAGCCCTGGTTAGGATGCAATCCTTCACTATTGTAAGAGATCTCTCCTTGTCTTGGAAGATTTTTGCATTTCTTTCTTTCCAAATGGTCCACAAAGTGGCTGCTCTAAGGCACCACATATTTCTTCCTCTTTTCTTGGCCAAACAAAGGTAGAGGGAGAAAATAGCAACTTAACTTCTGTTGGTTGGTTCCATCTGCATCCAAATAAAGCAAAAACCCAATCCCAAAGAGTTGCAGCGAAGGAACAAGAAACCAGTAAGTGATAGCAATCCTCACCATGAGTTTTGCACATTATACACCAGTTTGGAGATAAACATAAAAAGGAATTTTTCTTTTGCAAGTTTTCCAAAGTATTGATCTTCCCAAGGAACACCACCCAGCAGAACAGCAACTTTAGGAGGAGCAGGCTTAGTCCGAACTTTTTTCACTAGAAAAGAGCCAAGGATAGTATTAGTGCAAAGGGAATTGAAAAAGGAAGCACAAGGAACCTTTTGGAGCAAGGGCCCACACTCTTTTGCCAGTAGTCAAAGGATCCAAACAAACTTTTTTTTTATCAGTAAATTGTCAGATTTATTAAATCAAAGCCAAAGATAGTACAATTTAGGGAGAGGCACAAGATGCTACCTCCCCTTTAAGGATCAAAACAAACGTTGCTTAAAAGAGATGGAAGATCAGTAACACAACCAAGTTCAGTCTCCTGCAACCCCTGCTTGCACTGGATTTCCCATACTGCACCTATCAAAATTCAGTTTGAGGCTGTTTTCTGGTGGAAGGTGTCCATTTGGATAAGCCATACTGTTAGTTGTAGATGAAGAAGTATTACACAACCAGCCTCTCATCATGTCATTATCATCCACCAAAAAGGGTATGGAGATAAAACAAGTTTTGGCCCAACGCACCACCTTAATTGTGATGCTTTCAATCAGCACTTCTCTTGTTTGGGTGGGTGGCTTGAAAATTCTTGTAATTCTCTCCTCCCAAACTGACCAAATTATGGCATCCCTAGTGCATTTCCATAGTAATTGCCCTGCCTTTTTTGGTGGGGAGAAGAAAGAATCTACAAACCACATACAAGCATTTACCTGCCAATAAACCACAGACAGCAATTTCAATATGGTCAGCAAAGTAAGCAAGTGTTTACCTGCTTCTTTGATGATCCTGATGGTTTTTCCTCATTTATTTCATCTGGAATAATATTACTCTTCTTTAGATTACTAGACTTAAGGTGTTCCATCGATGGCCGAAGTTGTACAACTGCATGAACAGGATTCAAGTGTAACTGCAACATAGGAGGGGGAAAACTTTTACAATGCTTAGAATAAACATCACAAAATGATTGGTTCAATGTATTCAATGATAAAGTAATTTACTGTAGTTCGAATAATTTCACTTTGTACTGCATGTAACTTTTGTATATCTATATATGACTATAAGAAAAAAAAATAGAGGTGGAAATTTTGTAGATTTATGAGTATCATAGGGAAATTATTCTAATGCATGCAGCAAGAAAGAACAGGATCATGGCACCGAGCAACCATAACCCCAAAAATTAACATAATTTTTCTATTTGCAAGAAGAACACAATGGCAATTGGCATCATAGGTTAAACTAAGGCGGATAAAGAAGAACATAAGATCAATAATCACAAACAGATAAATTTGAAAGAAAAAAAAAGAATGTAAAATGTGTATTATATTGGAAATATTCAATTTGAAAAAGAAAACTAACCAAATATCAAACCAGTGAATGGAACTTTTGCAAGTTAAAACAGGTTCAACCATTGGGTCATTTGGGTCAACCACATGATGTCAACAATGTCCAAAATTAATCATTAGTGTGGATATACACAAAAGAAATATAAATTTAGGATATTTTATTTCCCAAACCTCCCCATGTGCAAAATTCAAGGTCTGAATATTCAGCATCTATCAGCTCTCACCTTCTTCCTCTATATCCCCCAGTTTTTTTTCCCATTTATTCTGCAGCAATGAACAAGAATTGAAATAACATAAAACATAAAAATACAATTTGTTTCTCTTGTACTACGGTTGACCCAGACACAGAAGACCGTTTGTACTTGGTTGGTATGCATGGTCTTTAAAAATTTCAGTGTCACTCAAAAGCTTTCAGCTCCACTTTTAGTGGTCTAATTATCCAAGAGTATCTGGTTTCTGGGACACGGGAGGAATTATAATAATACCTTATGATTAAGAATAAATAAACTTATAAAAAAACATAACATAAAGGTAGATGAATTGGGAAAGGAAGTTGAAGGAAAGGTGGGGCAAAGGACATCAGTGTTAGCACTTAGCAAGATAACTGGAACCAAAGAACTGCATATTATAAACTCAGTAGGACCTAAGTAGTGGACATCAATGTTTTACAATGTGGAGGCATGACACAAGGCGTTCCACTACCTAGAGGAATGAGGCGTAGTTCAGATTCTTCAGAACATAAGAGGCATAAGCCTCCTTAAGAGGAGGGGGAAGAGGAAAAAGAGAAAGGAGGATCTCATTTTTCTTTATTTTTAGTAAAAATCTTTTATATTAAGAAGAATGAAGATGCAGAGCCCCTGGCCCAAACTTTCCCTTCCCTTTTCTTTTCTTCCTTTTCTCTTTTTTCTCTCTTTCTTTTTTCCTTTTTCTTTCTTTCTTTCTTTTTCTTTTCCTTTCCTTTCCTTTTGCTTTCTTTTTTTCTTTTTTTTTCTGACTTTTTGTATGAGGTGTGCATGAGGCATACACCACTTGCACCTGAGGCGTATACCTCAGAGGTATCAACGCCTCTGGCATACACCTCAGTGCATTTTGGGGGCACCTCACCGGGAGGAGTCTCCCACGCCTTTTAAAACACTGGTGGACATCCAGCAGCACAAGGTATTTTTTTGACAGACAATTGCTCAACTTCAAGAAACAGCATCTTATATTTTATATGATTATTCAGATTTTCAGTGTCTTCCTACATTTATAACATTTATAACAATGTAGCAAGCTAAATCTGAAAAAAAAGGACAATTGCTCCACAAAAGATGGCAATATATATTAGCATACCTTGTTGCCAATCAGAACCCCAACAGCATAGCCAGTGGTGTTAGGTGGCTTCCACAGAGATGACAAAGTCTACATAAAGAGAAATGATTTTAAAAAATATCATATTATATTGATGGAATATCTCACCTTTACTATTTACACACACAGAGAGGTCATGCTATGTTATGTACAGATCAAGTAAACATGAAATAAAAAATAAAAATAAAAAAAAACTATATAACATTATGCCATTCTTGTTGATGCAGAGTAATTTGAGTAGCATAAACCAGAGCCAAAAGGAGGCGGCCAGCCAAATCTCAAAATAAACAAATTGTTGCTGATTAAATAAGAGACTAAAATCAATCAGCTATATTCTCCTTGTGCTACACCATAATTCAACAGTAACTAACAAAAGCAGTTAAATTTCCGGGGAATAAGCCATGCTACAGAGAGTTATGACGTTATTAGTTCTTGTTTTTTCAGGACTAGTTGAGTCAGTTCTGACCAACAGGCCAATGGCACATACCGAACATGGGCTTGGAAATAGAAGCTAGGCCTTTCAAAGCAGTAAGACCTCTTGTGGAGTTTGATCAAGCTTGGATAGGTCTGTATCAGTACTATGTGTCCTATAAAAAGGTCAAATCTTTTTACACAAATATCACAAAAAGAATACAAAAAATTGCAATTAAGTACTACCTAGACCCCCCCCCACTTGACTTCAAAATCCTTTTTTTATCTTTGAAATCATTATGCAGCAAAGCCCAATCCACCATAAAAGATCTAATGTCCTTACAAATGCTAAGTGGATTTGTTACATCTTCTATCATTATAAGCTGCCCGCAAGGTACCTGGGTATGCCTTTAGGGGAGAATGCAATGCAAAGAAGATTTGGGAGCCGATTGTGGAAAGGGTGGAGAGATATTTATGGTTGGCATCTGGGAGAGGGAGATATTTGTCAAAAGGTGGGAAGTTGGTGTTGATAAAGAATGTTATTTACTCCCTTCCCACTTACCTACTACCATTGTTTTTTTATCAATACTTACCTACTATCATTGTTCTTCATTCCAGCTAGGCAATTGAAAAGAAAACACAAGATTTAAAATGGGAAAGGTGGAAGATGGATTTTAAATTGCATCTAGTTAAATGGAGCAAAGTGTGTAGTCCAAAGAAAGTAGATGGTTTTGGAGTGAGGAAGATAAGAAGATTAGGAAGTTTAGTGTGGCTTGTCTTGTCATGTGACTCTGGAGATGAAATGAGCAAACCAATGCTTTATGGAGAAGGATAATTTTAGCCAAATATGGTGCCAGGGATTTAGGCTGGTAGCCGAGAGAGACAAGATTGCCCTATGGGCGTGCTGTTTGGAGAGGGTGGAGTTTAGAAAAATGAATCAAGTATACACTAGGAGATGGCACTAGAACTAAATTCTGGTTCGATTCTTGGTGTGGTGATCATCCACTTAAAGAGAGCTTTCCTATCCTCCTTGAGATAGCACAGAACAAAGAGCGTCTGGTTGTTGTGCCCTATGTTTAGAAGGAATTTAAATGACTGGGAGGTTGAGATGTGGAGTTGATGCAGAAAATCTCTGCCATTACACCTGATAGTATATGCAGGTATAAGAGAGCCTGGATATTGGATAAAGAAGGCAATTTCACAGTTAAACCTTTCTACAGTAAGCTCATAGAGGTAAGATGATGGACTTCCCTGCAGCCAAAGTGTGGAAATACTGCAACCCCTCCAAAAGCTGCTTTTTTATTATGGGTGGCAGTGCTGGTAGACAGCGGATGTTTTGGCTAGGAAAGGTCTGAATTGCTTCCTGGCAGGTCTGTAATGTGTGGGGGAGCTTCAGAGGATTCAAAGCATTTGCTAATTCACTGCAAAGTTGCAAGAAACCTTTGGGCAAGATTTTTGGGGCTGTTTGAAGTTCATTGCTGTTTTCCAGAAAATTTATTGGCAGTTATAAGGAGTTGGCAGCTGAAAGGTCTTTCTAAAGAAAGCAAGGTTATTTGGGGAGAAGGACCAGCTTTAGCGGTTTGGCCAATTTGGACAGAAAGGAACAAAAGACTGTTTGAAAACAAGTTCATTACAGAAGAGAATTTACTGAAAGGATTTTGGAGTAGATTGCATTCTTGGGTAGGAACACACAGATTGCTCATGAATAGGGCCAATAGGCCTTATAGCTCCTTTTTTTATTCTGGATCTCTTTTGTATCTATGCACACAGAATATACAGATTTGAAGATGTACAGATATCTTTGGGCACTGTACAACCCCTTGTGCAGATTTGGCTTGTTTTTTGAGTAATACAATACTTTACCTTTTTCCTTAACAAAAAAAAAAAACTTATATGGTAGACAATTTACCGAAATTATAAAATTTTAAACATTCATCTAATTTATAGCCTTCTAGTATTATTTATTTTTCCATGTCCTACGATGATCTGTTTTTTCTGCACTATGGATGGGAGTAGTTCCCCCTCAGTTGAAGGGTGATTTTATGTAAAGATGTGTTCCTGCAATTAATCACGTGAGACTAGGACAGAAGCTCCATAAGGTTTTAACTTTTAACTTCCAACAGTGAGCTCACTCTGTCCCATTGGTCTTTGATTCAATCACTACTAAAACTAACTAAATTGATCCAGTTGATCATGGCAATGGAGAAATAATAAAGAACAAAGACAGCACAACTGCTCTACAACGTGAAAAAAAAAGGTGAAATTAACAGTTTTAACAGAGGAAATATCCGATGAACTCTGATGGATACAATATTCAGGATTTTCCCTTTTTACTTGCTCACTCTATCCCAACAGTTATTTATTTCTTGTTTTAGATTTCTCTACCTCCGATTTCTTCTATACTCAATTGGATATTTAGTAGCTCAACGCTTTGGGCAAATGAATATATGATTAAACACCAGATATGCAAAAACATAAAAAAAGAAGAAGAGATGCAAATAACAATTGTCGAAAGAATATGCAAATGTGGTTATAAGAAATAACAAAGAAAACGATTTACCAACAAACCTGCTTTGTCATTTTCCTATTCTTGGCGGCATCATCATTGTTACAGTTATCACCATCATAAGTGCGCAAATCAACTTCAATTTCTGAAGATTCTGGTTTTATTCTAACCTGAATGACCAATATCCAATAATGAGACACCCAATAAACAAACCATAAACAACTAGCAATGTCAAATGGCAAAGTGAATATCGCTTATAAAAAATCTATATATACACCTCTTTACATCTCTCATCCAGTTCGTAAGGACGCCAACAAGGTCTAAGAGGGTATTGAAGAACATACAACTGGAAGTAAAATATAGAAAAAAAGGAAAATGTAAGAAGGCATAACCACACGTTAATCCAATCGGATGTATAGAAATAGAGACTGTATGCATTTGTGAAGCCTACTTGAGTATCGGTATCAAGAGGAGAAGGATTAAAGAAGACATCAATTTCGCGAACAACTCGATCTTCGTCACCGTCTTCTTCCATGGGGACCACCTCCGCCTCCGCCTTCGTTTCCACCTCCTCTTTGGCCATAAAATTGAGAGTCGAAGAAGCAGGTGGCGGTGGAGAGGGTTCAAAGGCTGCCTTGACAGTGGCATCGAGTGATGGCTGGGAATCTTCTTGTTTCTTTACAGGAAGGGCAGCAGGTTCTGATTCTGATACTGGTTCTGGTTTCGGTCGGAGCTTCGGCTTTGATGATTTGGGCAGGAACCTTGAGGGTTTTCTGGAAGCAGCCTGGCTTGAGCCATCGGGGCGCTCGATGCCTAGGTCGTCTAAGTCCAGGTCCATAATAACTGAAACACGACCTCCGACAGCGGTGTTGATACAGTCGGGGTTAGTTAGAGAGGAGAGGGCACTGCACCAGTACTAACTTAAACACAGCAAAGCCAGCCACAGTCCGGATCTCCTGCCCACGTTTATCGCAGCAGCACAGGGAGAACATCTCATCCTCTGCATAGTAGGGGGAGATGTTCCCAATTCACGGGGATAATGTATTATGGGTAGGCGTGGGCAGGATTCACGTGCACAGGAGATCCGGAGCGGTTACGGTAGTGTTTACGAATTGGGATTTGCTTAAAAAAACGCGCCTCACACCGATCTCACAGATACATTCCATCTTGTATTGGGAACATATCTCCCCGTGAATACGAGAGATGTCCCCGATGCGCAGCCAGAACATGCTGTGGGATCAATATTTTGTAATCGAATTCGCACGCAGGATGCAGAAAGCCACGTCGAACTCCTCTCAAATCCCTTAAATACAAACAGGCGACATCCCTCGTTAGGGAAAATTGCTGAAACCTCCCCTCACGTTTTGTAATTGCAGTTACCTTTCCTTACCTTTCTGGCACAGTTGCAAGTGGACCCCTTATAATAGAAATTCTTTAATAAGAAATACAAAAATGTCTAAAATACCTATACAAATTACTATTAAGGCTAGTTTCTTAAAAAAAAACAATATAAACTTTGTAAACAATATATTTTCCTTTGGGTGATTGATATGAAAGACAATTTTGAAAAATAAATCAATTTCAAAAAGGAGATTGAAAGGGTTTGGACAAGCGGGTATTTTGGGTAGTTGCAAGAGAAAACGTGAAAAATAAACATTTTCATCAAAATTTACAACATGGGTATTTTGGATATTTTAACACCTCCTTTTAGTAGGGTTGTCCATGAAAAACCGAATCGAGAAAACCAAATCGTAAAATACGGTTAATCGAATCGATTGGTTCTTGATGAAGAGAAATTTGGCCCGACCTCGCCATCACTCGATGCGTGGCAAAAGCGAACAGCTCGGGGCAATAGAGCACCCAAAACACAAGCACCAAAAGAAAAAGGAGCACGAGCTCCCTACTAGGAGCCCAAGCTCCCTACTAAGAACCCGAGCTCCCTGCTAGGAG